GGTTAAAAGCATTAAAAAAACAGCACAAAAAAATCCGTGAAACGGCGAAGCCGCGGAAAGTGAACCGTGATAGAGCGAGGGATCACTGTATAGCCTTAAGTAATGTTAATTACTACAAACTAAATGCTAGTTTGCGGGGCAGCACCGATATAAAATAGGACGTGTGAACGCTACAGGAGTAGATTGGTTACGCGTGAGAAGAGTTGATTACATACGGGGAGAATGCATTGCTTACGTGCTCTGTTGTACTTCCGTCATCTTTCCTTTCTCTCTCTCATCCTTTTATGGTGTCTGATAGACCACAGCGTTGATTTGTCTGGAGAAGTATAAACCATGTTTTTTGTTTTGATATGTCACAAACAAGGCGGGGAAAAGGAAGTACCGGTACACTTTACGCATGCCCTGCTCAATGTCTATCTGTTTTACACACACACACACACACACACACACACACACACACATTTTAGACATGCGGCTATTGTATTGCTATTTTGATGCTGACAGCTATTCCATTATTACCCTGACAGAGGCATGCAAGCAATGAAACGGCACTCATTTGTGTCCAACCAACTGCATTCCATGTTTGTGTTTCCTCCAGCTGTGAAGAAAAGCAAGGTTAAAAAAAAAAGCCTGTGAAATGTTTGTGTCATTGCAGTGTCTCTGTACAAGAGCTCTTAAGTACAACGGCCAGGAAAGCAGCAGGAAACCTTCACATGAGAATGTGTTTTGCAATAAAGAGAACATTTCCATTTCTTTTCCTGCTGTTGCCTCAGTCAGGGGATGGTTTCAACCTTAAAAATGGTGTTGGACTTTCAGTGATGTTGATTTAGCTTTGTTTTATTTATGCCTATGGTATTTTTGGAGCAAATATTTATTCATACATTTTTTTAAAAAAAGGTCTCCCCTTGAAAGTTTTGGACGGCACTACAGTATCCATGCACAGTGGACATGAAAAGTCTCCACACCCATGCCAAGATTTTGTGACGTAAAAAAGTAGACCAAGCTCAATCATTTCACAACTATTGCCACCATTAATTTGGCATATAAATAGTCCAATTATTTTTTTATACATATTTTCAAGAAAAACAACTCACTGAAATAATGTGATTGCATATACAGTTAATGCTTGTGAGAACTGGGGATGTGGCTGCGCTCAGATTGAACCAACTACATTCAAACTCATATTAAATGGGAGTCAGCGCACACATTGGACACAATTTAAAGTGCCTCTCAGTAATCCAAAAGCCATTTCAGTGATTCTAGGAGGCTTTTGCTGACATTATTTCGCTTTCTAGCAGAAGCACTGAAAGTTTGTGGTGACACTGACTTCTCTTTTAAAACTGTACATAGTTCCCTTCACCTTGACAAAGGTGACACCAGTTCCAGCTGAAGAAAAATAGCAACAAAGCATGGTGCTGCCCTCACCGTGCTTCACAGAGACATTGATGTCGGTCACATTATTGATAGAAAGTTTGAAAAGATTTTGTTTGTTCTTATATCACAAAAAGATGGAATTTGAACAGGGATGTGTAAACTTTTTTTCATATGCACGGTAAACGTTGAAAACATTCAGCAGTGAAATCAGAGGACTTGCGCATGGGTATTAAGTACTCAGTCAGAGTCACAGCCCAAACAATATTGTACTGCTTCTCCAACAAATGTGAATTTACTACACTGCCATTGTTACTGGTCGAGTTACCAAAAATTTACTTCTTTCCTTTTTGCCTACAATTGGATTGACATGCATATGACTGCTTTTTCAGTCTTTTTGCAGATCATGTTGTTGTCTCTATAGGGGTGTTCACACGGCAACTTTTACTCCGGTGTAGTACCGGGGCTGTCCCCTGTAGAGCGTTCACACGTACAAAGTTATACCGGCGTAGCCCCTGAAAACAGCTTAAACCAGAGCAAATTTAACCCTGTTCAGGAGGTGGTTTAAACATTTACTCCGGAGTAAATGCTAGTTTGCGGGGCAGCACCGATATAAAATAGGACGTGTGAACGCTACAGGAGTAGATTGGTTATGCGTGAGAAGAGTTGATTACATACGGGGAGAATGCATTGCTTACGTGCTCTGTTGTACTTCCGTCATCTTTCCTTTCTCTCTCTCATCCTTTTATGGTGTCTGATAGACCACAGCGTTGATTTGTCTGGAGAAGTATAAACCATGTTTTTTTTTTTGATATGTCACAAACAAGGCGGGGAAAAGGAAGTACCGGTACACTTTACGCATGCCCTGCTCAATGTCTATCTGTTTTATTTCCGTATTATCGTATTGCACGGCCGCAGAAACTGCCGTGTGAAAGCAAGTGGGGCTGCACCGGGGTTAACGGGCTTCTCTTTAGTAAGCAGTTTTATATATGTGAACGCTCCACAAAATTTACACCGGTGTAAGATATATCGCAACAAAATACATCGGTGCAGCACCGATGCAAATGTGTGCCGTGTGAAGGTCGCGGTCAAGGTCATCTTTATTGTCAAATATGCTTTATGTATGACATGCAACATAGATGAAATTTCTTCCTCTCAATCCTCAGTGCAACACCCCTTATGTAAAATTTAAAAAAAACAACAACAAAAGAGAGAAGTATGGATTCGGTTCTTGTAATCTGAACATCCCGGACCACTTCAGTGGTATGATTGCTATCGCTGTCACTGTCACTGGTTTTCCACTCAGATTGTTTATGTAACATGTGTGATCTAATTACTGTACTTGATCATTACATGTATTAACCTTGCATCCAAATTGTATGGGCGACAACGCTTGATTAAGCTCTGCGCTCTTACTCGATGGTGTGATGTCTCCACCCACATGTCTTTAAGCCAAGCACATCCTTTGATAACTGTGGCTGCTCTCCAGAAAAATGAGGAGGCTGAAGGCATGCAGAGTTGAGGTTAGACCTCATTAAAATGTTGGTTCGGTACTGGCAAAAGGAATATGATCCAAACTTTTAAGGAATTGACTAAGAGTCTTGAAGCGCGGTATGTTTTTATGTATTCAACCTATTTTTTATTTTAAGTGGTTGATTCCACCTCTGTTAGTTCTGTTACATTTTGGTCAACGATCAAGAAAAAGGGTCATAGGTCAGGGTTCTTTGCTTCCAGGGGCCTCAATATGCAACCACGACAGGCTGGTTCTTCTCTTAGAGCAGGTTTCCTTAGAAACAACACTGCCCTCCTTTACATTAGTAAGGTTCTTATTTTGCTGCAGGTTGTTATGGCAACAGGGAGGATGTGACGCAATCCAATGTTGTTTAATCATGTCCCTAGCTCTGGCCTTAGGCTCAGTCTTTTCTTTAATTGTGTCTTCATTCCATGAGAACGCTGCGTGTGAATTCATCGGGCTGTCGTGTCAATAATTGCTCGAGAGAACTCGACCACATTCGTCGTCACGCTGGTCAGCCTTTGTGGAAAAGGTCAAGCAAAGTACTGTGAAGCTCTGTTCATTAAGGCCGTCGTCTGCATTGCAAGAAACATTCACTGGAATGGCAAAAAAAATTATAACAATAAAAAAAAATTTGACTGAAAAGAGATGCAAAACTTTTGGGGAATTGGCGACTGAATAACTTTCAGTTCCTCTTCTGCCAAGTAAGCGCTCCTCAGGATGGCACATTGTGTGCTCACCAGCCTCTTTAATAGGTAACCCATTTATTTTCGGGTCGGGACACTTTTGATTTAAAAAAAATTGTATATGGAACAAATGACTTATTTTATTTATTCAATGAATTACTATTAGCAAGTATTCACTCTGTGTTTGCAGAATATTGTGTGAAAGGTCAAATCATCCTAAAGTCGTTTTGTGAAGACGATGTGAGTCATTAGACCTGACTAGCTGAATGTACAAATACAGCCGGTCTCGGTACAAACTTACTCGCCTACATCCCACTTTGTCTCATTCAGATACTCTTTTTAAACTCGCGGCATTTGGCATTACTCTGAGAACTTCAATACGTGTACCTAACACTGTTGTCGGTGACTGTTAGAAACGTGTCTTTTATTTTTCAGGTGCGTCGATAGAATGGTGAACTGACACTGTAAAATGTGTATTAATTTAGTACATGAACTACCATTTTGAGACAACATGTAAGACACGAAAGGGTGCTTGCTGTATCAACTAGGCCACATTCTAGAGCTGTCAGGTGACCGGGCCTTGCTCAAGGGCACCTTTTGAAGTAAACCGGCATCTACTGCTTCAGCTCTGGCCAATCCGCAACGGGTCTTAGCCCAAGCCAGAAAGAAGCCTTACAGACCGAGCTACTGCCTCTGCCAACTGTATTAATGCTAATCGGCTCTCACTCTGAGTCATGCACACCGCCCACAGGAGGCACTGATAACACAGTTACATTAATATTTCTTCTCATTAACCGATGATAATGCTGTTAATTTCATATTGCTAGTGACAGAAAAGCCTCTGTGTGTGATAGCACGTCTGACATTTGAGTTCTCGAAGCAACAAGCTAGTCATTAGTTGTTAGCACACTGAGATGTGGGGTCAGCACTCACCCACATTCTTGTTGTAAAATCTTACTGATTTATGTATTTTTTTAAGCACTATTTAATGACACTTACACTCATTTGAAAAGATAAAATGATCTCATCTCAACTTGAGTTAGCGTGAAATGGAGCTGTTTAGTGGTACACAAATCTCCTATTCTGTTGTATGAATGGCAACTGGTGATAAGTATTTATTTAGCGGTACATTAATTCCACCTTCTGAAATCTAATGGAAGAGAAGTTCATCCTTATCCCCGGCACTCTACGTTGTCGTTTACATAGATAAATATTTTCAGACAAATAAAGTGACTAGATTGAATAATTTCCCTTTGTTGGGCATGAGTGCTTTAATTAATGCGATCGCTTCACCTATGCGCATTGTGGCCGCGCTCAGATGTTTTTGTTCAAATGAAAGCATGCTTAGGGCATCACGTGCTCTCCAGCGGAGCACTTTGAGGATGTGATCAATAATCTCTAACCTCTCTTTCTCCTACCTCTTTTTGTAGTTTCCCACACCTCAATCGGTGAGGCCCACTGATCTAGAACCCCGCCCCGAGCAACCTCTTCATCCCTGACACACCTTCCGTCAACGCTGGCTCCCCTCACTTCTGTCGACATGGCCACCACTAGCCGGCTGTTGGATCTGGCCCAGCTGGGACTGAAATGTGACCAGGAGATAGAGAGGAAATATGAAATTGTGCCCTCTGTGGTCTGCTCCATGAGCTGCATTTTTGGAATCATCTACTGCTTCTTTGGTATGTGATGCAACGTCGTTATACCGCTCAATTGTTATTCAAATCACGTTTTGTATCTCATACAATTGTCTTCGAACTGCAATCCATGCAACAATGTCTGCAATATAATGTACGTAATGACACCGTCACAGAGGTCATGTAAATGAATCGGTGATTATATTTCTTTAATTCACCTCCAAAAAGTTAGAGCACAAATGTGGGGAGATAAAAGGCCAGGACAAAGCAGGAAAAATAAAAGGGCATCAGCTGACAGGAACAGATGGGATGGAGGACTTGATTGCTCGAGGGATATTAGGGGAAGGCGAGGAGACAATGAGAGGGAGTGGCCGCAAGACAAATATGATGTCAGGGTTTGTCTGGTTGAAGACACAAAAAGCCAGGGTTTATACACATAACAATCTGAAAGATTTGAAATTGCTTCAGATCCTCCAAGTCTGAAGTTGTTTTCAGTTTTGCAGAATGAAGACACTTTGAGAACAAGTGAGACCACGGATAAGGAAAGCTCAAAGGAATGCTTCAACGGAATGAGTTTGGCCACCAGAGCTTTGTCTTTGGTTGAATGGGAGAAAGAGCTGCGTAATGGCCAGCTTCACAAATCCAACGTTGATTCCCCTTTGAGTCATGTCACATACAGAAAATAACGAGAGAAAAGGACATTTGAATATGTACAGACACAAAATGATGCAGTGAGAAGAAAAAGAACCAAAGAAAAGAAACCCTAAAGATGCCAAGCGAGGAGACAAAGGAAAGGGAAATGAGAAGGGCAGCAACAGAGTTCCTGTTAGCTAATGAAGGCGCATATGATGATTAGCATATTTTGGACACAACCGCTAACAATGTTATCGGATTTTCCACCACATTCTAATGAGCAATCGTCTGTGTTTGAAAGGCCTCACTAGCCGTTGCTGCTCGCTGTCCGTCCAACTAGCTCAAACGAAACTCTCAACAAAACTCCACAAAGGACTTGTCAAGCAGTCTGCTGGGTTAATTCACTTGATACTGTGACACAAACACACAAAAAGCTGTGACTCATCACTATTGTATCAACACTGCACATACTGATTTTGAGACTAAAAGCAGCACTTGTTTGATTTTTTTTTTCTTGTTTTTTGGGGGTGGGGTGGGGGGGGGTCAAACTATTTGCTGTTGGGTTAATTGGTCACATGTCTAAGCCACTCAGAGACCAGGAAGTCAACTTCTTGGAAATTCTAAAACCCACCATCTCTGAAACTGACTTTCTAACTGCTCTTTTTAACACAAAAAAAAAAAAAAAAATCTGAATGTAGCATCATAAGTGAAATAATCCTGTCGATTCCAGCAAAAGATGTTGGAAGGAGCTGAGGTCCATGATAACCTTAGCAATATCCTTAGTGATGCTCAGTGTGGCATGGTTATATTATCATCCATAAAAATAATTTATGCATAATAATTTGCATGCATGCCGGTCACATCTGAGTTTGCTTCCTATCTCTTCGCAGGCTACCGATGCTTCAAGGCCGTGCTCTTCCTAACAGGCCTCATGTTCGGCTCTGTGGTCATCTTCATGCTGTGCTACAAGGAGAGGGTGATGGACACTCAGCTCAGCATAGAGGCGTCGGTGGGCATCGGCCTTGGTATCGGGACTTTGTGCGGCCTGGTGACCATGTTGGTCCGCAGTGTCGGACTATTCATGGTGGGCCTGCTGCTGGGCCTGTTGGTTGGAGTGGCTTCATTGGTTGTGAGTACACAAGTCCAATTTCCAAAGTTAAACACAATCAGTTGATGCTGGTTGACTTCCAAAGTCTAATTTCTGTTTTTCTCATGGAAAATATAAAAGGCTGTCACCATCATAAAACCAATATGAATTGTACCGCAATATTTTGTTTGCAAAGGGCGGTGTTTTATAGGTTTTGCTCAAACTAAGTGTTGTATGTCTTGCTAAAATTGCACTTTCTAATGTCAGAGGTTCCATTTTTCATTCAGTGATGATGACATATTCCTCACCCTTCTCTGGTTGCATGACAAACAAAAAAAAAAGCACAGAAAAATAATACTCCAACCTCTGCAGTCCAGCTTATCACTAAGACACCTCAGTGCAAATATTAAATTAAAAATGATATTACACACATTTATAGCAAGTCCCAGTTTTACCTCTCCATATTTGTCAAACCTCCTTATCGCCACTCCTGTCCAATCTCCACGTTTCCTCCTTTATTCCACCTGACGTGCCTTCCGTTCGTCTCAGCACCACGAAGCAGACCTTTGAGCTACAAAACACACTGACATGCGAACTGAGCTGAAGCCTCAAGACACTTGACGTCTCACAAGCATATAATAGATAATGATGTGAATTGTTTTATGTTTTGAAGAATATTTCTCCAGATAGTCTAAATCAGGGATGTCAAACTCATTTTATCATGAGCTACATTGTAGTTATGGTTTTCTTTTGAGGGCCATGATGGCTGTGAACCCATATAAATGTATGTCCCATATTATCATATAGACACAACAAATTAATTAATAACTACACTGAAAAAATGATATCCATCCACCCACTTTCTAATCCGTTTACACTCACTCGGGCAGTAGGCAGGGGTACACCTACAACCAGTTGCCAGGTAATCGCAGGGCACACATACACGAACAACCGTCCGCGCTCACACTCGCATATGGGGACAATTTAGAGTGTAAAAACGTAACTTGTTTTTTTCAAGTAAATATCACTCCAAAAAAATCTCTGTAGTTTTGAATGCAAAAGCCAGTGGAAAAAAAAAATTCAGTTCTTTTAAAAGGAAGATTAGTAACAAACAAAAAAATGCCTGGAACATCTCAATGCTATCAAAAGTAAAGACAATTTCCAATTTCAGTATTTTAGCAACATACTAAGTTGACGCACATGATTTGCCACGGACCACATAAATTGAAGTGGCAGGCCGAATCTGGCCCGCGGGCCTTGAGTTTGAAACCTGTTCTCTAACCTCTTCTTTTTTGGGGGCATATGACTTGGTAGCCTCCTCTGTATGTCTAACCTCCATTCAAATATTTATAGTATGTGCAAAGCAAACCCGCTTGAAAAAAAATCAGTAATGTGTTAAATAATCTGTCTCTGAATGTATCAATCATTCTTTTTCAGGTCATGGAGGAATTTTACCACCCCAGAACAGTGTGGGTTCCACTGGGAATTCTTCTGGGTTCCGGGACCCTGTTTGCCGTCTTCACTCTTCAATGGCAGCGTTGCTTCGTGACCTTGTCTACCGCCACTTTCGGTTCAGCTATCATTACCATCACAGTGGATTACTTCATCGAGCTGTTTGCGATGGTGCAATACATCTATGAGAGACTCAAGGTGCTTCTTCTGGTTTCTTTGTGCTTCTGGCTGAACTTTTAATTGCACACGCAGACAGAAATACGATATAGTTGTTCGAGATTGGGAGTAAATTGCTTGGCTCAGAACTAAAGATAACCCCCATATTTGGGTTAGAACGATGCAACGCCGCAAACTCCGATTTTCAAATCTGTCAAGCAATGAGCAGATAAGCAAAGTAGATAGAGCGATGTGGAAAATAGCTATTTATCATCCACTTGCAACAGTGCATGCATAACATACTCCTTGATGACTCATTGGTAATGTGCAGTCGAGCATTTCATTTTTTTTTTCCACTGGGGATGTAGTGAGACACATTTGCTGTGCTGAGGAAATACTGCAGAAGGCCGAGGGGGGGGTCATACAGGCTTCCCGTCATGAATCATCCAGTCTTGTACAAGCCAGTCAAACTGCACTTTGTCCAGGAAATCGTTAGCCCCACACCCAGCCTATATGAGCCGCGGGGTGCTTTAAAGCTTCCTCCGGTCTATATTTATACCCGCCGATGCCAAACTCTTATTGAGCCTACCAATAAATTCAAACCAACACATTTAATTTCAATACCACATCGGCTTTTGTAGGCTTAGTACAACAGCAACTGTTCCTCAACTGTGCATAATTGCTTTATTGATGAATTAATCATCAAGTCTCTGGACTGTTTGGTTTTACAAGTTAATCATTTTCGACGACTCATGAGCTCTTTTCGCACCCTCACAATTTAGTGCTTAAGTAGCACCGTGAAATAGGTTTTCTATTTCGTGCTGCCCATGCTGCATGTAAGTGTGATTTATGATTGGCAAATACTAATCTGCTTGAGTAGTGGCAAAGAAACCCAAAAGTATAAATGTAATTTATGTGATAACATGTTTTGAAATGAACATGGAATCACTTCAGCGTAGAGGTAATGTGTGGCTCGGCTGGTCCACCAACATTGTAAACCACAAAATTATTGCATTTGTTGCGGTTGTTTTCTGTCCTCGGGATGAATTAATCACTTGGCTGTTGACTCGATACAGCATTAAGATTGTAGTTTGCCATCAATACAGGTGGCGCCCAAGAAGCCGGTCTGCTGGTTCACGTGGGTCATCATGGGGGTGTGGCCTGTCCTGGCACTGCTTGGAGTGCTGATTCAGTGGAAAGTCACAGCAGAGGGTTTTTCTCACACTGAGGGTGAGTACCCAACCATGTTATTGTGATTGACATTTTCTAATGGAATGGAATGAAGGGGTTCAATGAAGGGGATTTTGTCAGCTACAGCAGCAGATGATGCAGCATTTGAGTCAGCCTGGTTTGTTAAAAATATACCGTATCTTCCGCACTATAAGGCGCTTCGGAGTATAAGGCGCACCTTCAACGAACGTCCTATCTTAAAACTGTTTTCATATATAGGGCGCACTGCATTATAAGGTGCATAGAATAGAAGCTACAATAGTGGCTGTGGTTGCGTTATGCATCCACTAGATGGAGTTACACTAAAGGGAATACAATACAGTTCAATACAGCTTTATTTGTATAGCGCTTTCACAACTGCTGCGGCTGTAACAAAACACATTACAGCACATTTAAAATACTACGTCCAAGAAATCATTATATTGATCGAGCTAGAAGATCCATATAAGGTGCACTGTCTGCTTTTGAGAAAATTAAGTCCCTTTAGGTGCGCCTTATAGTGCGGAAAATATATGAGTAGGACTTTGTCAGGCTGTCAACAAAAGTGCACAGAGACATTTTCGCTTCTTGAACTGCCTTTCAAACATAGCCCGATGGTTATATATATGGGACATTGGCTTGGTAGGCAGCTACTAGCCACTGGACGCTAATGCTGGCAAAATGCGCCTTATGTCAATGTCACAGTAATTAATTCAAGGATTTTTTTTTTTTTTTTTTTGCATCCTTAATTAAATTTGAGATTAAATTTGATTTCAGTGTGACATCGTGTTGATATTGGTGTCAACAGTTTGTTATGGCAAGATAAACTGGCCCTGACTACAGGCCGGAAGACAAGTCAAGATTGGTGCCACACTGCCATGCGCTACTGGGAACAACAAAAAATAAGCATACGTAATAAGACATTTATGTCCTTGTATTCTTTGGTAAGCTAAGGTTAATTTTCAAGTTGGCCTTCTCACCGTTGTACCTTCATGTATAGCATGAACAAGCGTTGCTGCAGCTGGCTTGACTTTGACGGTGAAAGCGACCAAATGAAAGCGTACTTGAGGGAGAAAAAAAAATCTTAGAGCACACAAAACAGTACAACACTGTTTGTTTTGTTTTTTGGGGTGTCTCATTTATTTACCCTCAAAGTTTTAAATGTTACAAACCAATTCCTGTTAAGTATCAGCATGAGGTCACCCCAAGCTGCTGCAATGTTATTAGCAGCTCTACATTTGTCACAAGTTCACTGAACGGTTTAATTGCTTTTGAAATTGCATCCACAATGAGGGAATAATAACACGAGCATGCGTGTTTGTGTGTTGTTAAGGGAAATAGCTTTTTGATCTGTCCCGAAAGCAACCACAACACAGATGGCAAGATGGCACCCGCAACTTCAAGCTGCAAATACACCAACACACAGCTCTCACAGGCATGCATTCGCACACTGTGACAGACATATACAAGGTCTTTTGCTCATTCATTCATTTAGCACTCACGCAACAACGGCAGATAAAACGGTGCCACTGTCGGCCTTCAAAAACAGCTTTTAACAATGGACTGTAATGGCTTCCAGTCGAAGGGTGAGGGAAGAGCGATGAAGCTCTGTCAGGCTATTTTGAAAAATAGTGAAGCGTCAGGGAAATAGACGTGGAAACATTGCTGCTTTCAAACTACACAATAGAATCCTGGGGAAAACATGACTCCTTAATAGGAACAAGACCAGTGCTCATAAAACCCTTCTGCACTGATAAGCAAACACATGCAAAGAAGTGATACTTCAAAGTTTGAGCGAGGGGTGAGGGGTGGGGGGGGGGGTAATTTGGCTTCCACTTTGCATATTTTGTGTTTGCTCATGTGCAGGAATGGATAAGCAAAATGAAAAACGGTTATCACCACGTAATGCGGAGTACAGGCGTGGTTTGTGGCTGCTTACGCTGAAGCCCAGGGTCTAAGGACTCAAACAAAAAACTTCGGTACACATCTGTTTTTGGACAGTGCCGATCATTTTAATGCCTCCCTGACAAGGTAAATCAAAAGTGAGCATTTATTTTCATAAAGGTAGTTACATGAATCTCAATTGCTTGTGCAAGTTGTCAGAATGTTGTTTTCTTTTTTTTAAATGGCACAAAGGAAAGCTCAGGAAGGGAAGGGATTTTAGTAAATACAGTACTTGGTAATATATGCAATGAGCATAATGGATTCATTTCAAGTGAGCATCCTGTTTTCCACCTTTTTTTTAATATTGTGGTGTGATTTGAAAGATTTTGAGATATTTGAATGCCTTCATGCTGTCTATTAACGGTAGAGATGGGGGAGAAAAGGGGGATGGTGCAGAGGGAGCAGGTGTGAGGAAGGGGCTTGCGGGGGTTTGAACTGGTGCATACTGGGTAAACGGGGCACTCAAGTGGGCCAGTGAGGAAAATCACGTGGCAGCCATTGAATTGCGTGCAGCACACTACTGATATGTTGGAACATAATTGGTTCGTCTTTCTCTTCAGTTTGTTTTGTTTTCTCCCTATTTCTGAGGACCCTCGATGGCACTCTGTTCTCCCATTAAGACACACACAGACATTATAAGTGGAATTTGGCCAGGGGGTCCACAGAGGGTTAGCTGAGGAAAATAAAATGGGGGTTTCATCAAGCAATTCTCTGGCAGATGGTGCCTCGTTATCCATGCGCTCACACAAAGAAAACCAAAACAATGGACAACAAGAACACACAGAGGGATGGTGACACGCTATGATTTTCATGATGTTCAGAGGGGCTGCTTTTACATGATTGCATTATCGTTGCATCGCATCCCTACATAACATTATGCACATTTAAGTGCACAAAAGGATCGTATCAGCGAACAATGAGGGAGAAAAGAAAGACTTTTTTTCAGGTCACTTTCTATGGATGTTTTTTTTTTTTTTTTCCAAAAATGAGAGGTAGAAATGCACACCCGTAATGCACAAAGCCACAATGAGAAGAAATATCCATTTGCATTGTTTCCTTTCCTCGCTGCGACCATCTCCAGCAGGGTTATTAACAACCTTGAATAGTAAATGTTTTTAAAATGTGTTATTATTATTTTCCCATTCACTTCCCCAGGAAATTAAAAACATCGTTCTTCCTAATTATCTCCTGTTGTCTCTCCAGTGGTTTTGAGTCGACAACAAAGGCGGGTGCAGCTCATGCGGATCCGGCAGCGAGAAGAGAGGCTCAAAAAGGAGAATGAGAACAAGAAGAAGAAAAAACAACAGAACCAGAAGAGCGGCCAGAAGCAGAAAGCCAACAGCCATCGCCACCAGCAGTACCACCATCCAGGGACATCTCACCCCCATCACCCATCCCGAAGCACGCAGCCCCACAAAGTCCCTCACCCTCAGACTGAGCCGGGCTTCCATCGCAAGCCCAACCCCAAAAAGCGCTTTGAAGGAGATGTGCTCTCACCGGTAAGAGCTTTATTTGCAGAAATGTGTTACTTCATCTGTTGGGAAAAAAAAATTATCATCCATTTACACTTTTAGAACTGTGAGGTAATTTTTGTTGTTTTCTCATTGATGTTGCCAGGCAACCAAAATAGAAATGCGACCTTCTGAAGTGGCTGCATATTTAAATAGAGATATTACAGAGCACTCCTGCTGAAGTTTTATCCGCACCTTGTGATTCTATTGTTGATCATTTTAACAGTAAACTGAAATAAACATTGGAATCATTGGCTCCACTTTCAAATAAAAACATAAGAATAAACCAGACACCACTGTGGAGAACCAACACCAAAAGATGAGTGGAGAGAGGGTGGGAAAACCACTCCGAACTTATAGGAACAGTTAAACAAGCACGAATGTCACATAAAAAAATATCTCTGTTTCTAACTGGTTCCATTCTTGTCTCTCAAATTGATTTTTATTTGTAGGTATGAAGACATGTTCTTCAGTAGTACATGAAATTCAGTTTGGGGTACCCCAAGGGTCAATTTTAGGTCTGCTCGTTAATCTTTACATAGTTACCCTCGTGGATGTTACCTGGGGCTGTGGCACCATCTTCCGAAGTTATCTAAATGTCATGCAGTTGTAAATCGACGTTTTTCGTGATGACACTGAGTCATTTAATGCCTTTTGAAGATAATAAATTATATTTTAGACAAAGATCAGGTATCTTTGGCAGAGGTAATTAAATAAGGTCGGCCCTTTTGTCGCTGTAACATCTCTCTTGCCTGGCCTTTTTTATCTATGGCACTCTTGGCACACATACTAGTTGATTCCAGTTGAGACTGTGGAGTCACACATTGTCACATGGGCGTGACAGAGATAATATAAAATTAAGCAATTATTTTGGATAAAATACTTGCACATTTGTCAGAAAAATGCTCCACAGACATGTACTCGATCTTTTTGACATCTATTAAGTACAGTAGTTCAACGGAAAATAACCAGTCTTTTGGCGAGTATAGTGAGCATTAAAGATAAGAGACTGGCAAGTCTCCCTAGAACATTTCAGGTCGTTTCTCTCAAACGCGGGTGGTGAGAGTACTGGAAAGGACCAGAGGGTGGGTGTGCATATCATTTGGCTCCCTGTGATTTTCCGGATGGTTTTCATTTTCTTTTATTAGTTTTTAAATGTTTCAATGGTTTTGGGCCATCCTATTTATATGACCTGACCTGCTTTTATCATGTCAGCCCTTCCGTTTCCTGAGGTCCTCTGGCACTTTTAATTGATCCGAGAGCTACCACAAAAACTCCACGTGGAAGCTGCATTTAGCCATTATGGCCCTAAGCTATGGAACAGCCTGCCAAAGAGCATCATTTGACTGGTTTCTCAGCCCGTTTTATCAGCTTTCCTGTTGAGCTCCATTGTTTTCCTCTTGGGCATCTCCACAAAGGGAGGCGTGTATTGTGTGTGACAGTTGCCCCTGGGGTTATCTTGGGCCTGGGGGAAGTGGGAGACCTGCACAATGTGTAGAGTCTATCCTGGTCTGGGTTGGGATGGTCTCTGAGTCAGCGTTTGCTGCAGCTGTGGACTCACTCCATTTGTTTCTGTTCACAGAGCTACATCCGCAGTTTCAGGGACAGGCAAACAGACAGACGAGCGTACTCCCACAGTCGAATGATGAGCCGCTCCCGGATGGCTGAACTTGACTATGACTGTGGCTCTCAAGTGCCCCTCACAGCGCCTTCAGGAGCTCCAGTTCGTATCTGACAGCTCGAAATGTACAAATCCTCCCGAAAAACGAAAATACAAAAAGATGTTTGGCACGCTAAATGTTGTGTCTATCAAAGTAAAGCCGGAGGAAAACAAGAACTACGGGAACAGAGCTGCATGTTAAGTCGGCTTGTTGGCTGTTTTCTACAGCAAACAATTATCAACAGAGGCTGCAACAAAACTGTCACATGATCAGACATCCATTGAAAGCATTGTCTTTCCAAGTGCAGCTTTAATATATGTGTGCTGATTTGGGGATTTCGGCCCAAGGAGTCACATTGAGTGATTTTTCAGGAAGCAGTCACCACCTTCAGATGTTGGATTTTCCCATGGAGAAGGCTATTTACACTGGAAGATGAACACAACACTTTCTTTTGTTTTTTTTTTAAAATTCCTCTCTAAGAGGTTTTGCTCTCATCATATCAGCTGACTGGTAGCTGTGTTACCCCAACCAGCTGGTGACCATTGCTGAAATATGTAAATTCCCAATCTAATGACACACGACATAGACACACACTATTCTCAGTCACTGAGTGGGAAGTGAATGCATGCCGCCTCTACGGCAATCAGGCTAGCGAACGAGTACGCCGTCATTCTCTCCTAAAAAGGTACCAATTTTAATCCCAATTTCATTTTAGGTCCAGAAATGTGTCACCGTGATATATCCATTACCTACATTTTTATAGACAGAAACCATTCTATCCTCCTCCTTCTTTCGATTCATTGCTAACAAATGTGTGCGGTCTCTCACCAGAAGTCAGTTGGTAACCTAATGAGCGCCACAGAAAATGGATAGATGTGTTTTTATATGAGAATGTATTCTCTATTCCCCTTATTTGATTTTATTCTTCAAATCCCCTGACCCCATTCAACACCACAGTAAAAGTCTATTCACAAGCACATTTGCAGCAGTTGTTTCAGTGTATACTGGCCCTAAAAGGAAACTGACTGAGTTGACGGTGTGTTGTTGTCAAGGCGGACAACACACAACAGTGAACATATGAAATCATGTGCTACAGTGTTGGTGCAGACACACAAGCCCTTTGGCAAGTGATGGATTGTACCAAATATTGGCTAAAGTGAGGGGGGGTACTCTCCTGATGTAGGTAGATGTAATTATATGATGTTTTTGTTGTTGTTTTGTTTTTAATAAGAAAACATGAGTAAATAACATAATTCCTATAAATACCATAACATCATGATGGCGGCGAAGACACGCAAATGTGGTTCTTAATTGAGCTAGCGATGGAAGCAATTGCAATGGCGCCCTCTATCGTTTAAAACTGGATTCGCCGTGTATATTTGTGTGGGTTTTGTGTGCTGGATATCGAGAAAGCGGCATTTTTTACGGTCTTTTTTTCACTTTGTATTCGCTTTATTGTTGTTACTTTCATTGTGGAGCCATGAAACAAGCAGCCACTGCTCAACATTACGTATGGCACCAAAAGCAAATTTGTACCTATTTTTTGTGTACATCTTGTAGATGTTTAAATACGATAAAACAAAGGATTGCAATGACTTCAATACTGAAGTGCCACAACATATTTTGTGGTTGTGTGAAACTTGGCAGGCCTTGCACTTGTTTGAGGGGTACACGTGCACTGTTACCCCTTCCATGCACGAGTGTCCTTGTTGAACTGTTTTGTGTTTTCATTGCGACGAAGTGTCTATGTGACATCTGTTCTCGTTACCCTTTATTAGACGTAGAACACATATTACTTTCAAATTGGACTGTTTTCAGCAATCCAAAAAAAAAGTGGAGAGTCCTGTCACAACACCCAAAAAACAACAGCCATGACATACTGAAAATGTTACTTGAAAATAGGATACGTGCACATGTTTCTGCTGACTCGTGACATCTTGTTTCATTCGTAGGCTCTCAGCATCAAATTCATATAACGGACAGCAGGATACGTTCAACTTGTGACATTTGCTACATTGTCCTTCCTCATCCTTTGTCTATTCTTCAAGTCTCTTGTGTCTTTATCGTCTCAGTTTAAACTGTGCAGGAAAAGGGCTTTGAAAAGGCATGAAAACATTTCCATCCACTCATTAGTCATGTATTGTCATCATTTTGCATTTCAGTCTAATGTTGCCACGTTCGTCTCTTGATATCATTTTTGGTTTACAACTGCAGTCAAGTTAATTGTGTCTTTACATCGTTCACAGCTAAGAGCTGAATTAACATTACTCTGTTGAATTTATGAACAGATTCAATGGCTCCAGTGAAATTCAGTGAAAAATGTGTCACTTTATCAGACACCCTGCACCTCCTGCAGGACATGTTTGGAACACTCATTGTACATACCATGATATAAATACTTTTTAAATGTAATGAACGTTCGCTGTCGTCATGTTTACGCCATGGTCTTGTAGATTTTTTTTTCAGCGATTATTTTCTGGTGCAGTAGATATTTTTAAATTGTGTTCTTGAATGTTCAAGTGATACGTTTTTTATTTGAGAGACAGACATGAGCCTGTGAAGAGATACTGATTCACCTTATTGCCATCATTTCTATTGTTCTGCTTATTTTATTATTATTATTATGATTATTATTATTATTATTATTATTAAGCATGTTTTAAATGGACCTATGATATGATTAAATGACATTCATGTGATTCGAGAAATAGTGTGTGTTTTTGTTTTTATAAGGGTGCACATAACCCATTGTCGAAATAAATTGTGGTTGAGCTTGGAGTGTTCTTAAAACGGCTGCATGCATGTTCTTGCTTTATTTACAGTAAAATACCATTAAATGTATTTTGTGAGGCAAAATAATATGACCTGCAGAAAAACAAATCCTAGTGGGGTTACGCTTGAACTTCTCCTACACTAATTGTGAATACTAGACCCATGCACACCACCACCTTAATTACAAACACTATATTTAAAAAAAATGTCCCTTTTATCATGGGCACAACTGTTCCCATAGGAAATAATGGAACTCAAAATAACATGTTCCAGGGTCAAAATAAGACCAGGATTAAAAAAAAGTAACAATCTCATTTCTTTCACACACCCTGTAACCTGATAACATGATAAACTGTCCACTGAAGTACCGGTAACCGCTGTCCCTGAAAGGGATAATGTAAATAATCCATATATATCTTGGCTGAGTGGAAATGTTGCTATCATCGAACAGGAAATGGCACAAATCTTCAACCAACGAAAAAGCTGGGAAATTACTTCCCTTGCTATCTTTCTCTCTCGGATTCAGTAATTATCTCTCTCCCGTTATAACCTTTTCATTATCATCGAACTGTCTTTGTCTTGCTCGCTGCCTGTGCTGCCCTCTCAGCCTTTCTGTCTTGTAGCCTTCCCCTCCCCTCCGCTTCTTATCTCTGCTAACATTTTCAGTCCACTGACTTCAGACACATGCTTCACTGTCGATCTCGATCGAGACGGGGCCCAGCTCATTAACGAGCCATTGTTCACAGAGACCGCTTCTGATCATTTCAACAGGGCCCCCGCTTGCTCAAAGAGTCGATTAAATGTGCGGCGCAAAAACACTTGGTGTCAAAGCAATTGTTTCAGATGATAAAAAATGTAGTGCACGCAGGAGGGCCACAACACATGTTTGTCTGGCCAAAAGAACCTTGAACAAGTTGTGATCATAAATGTCTTTTATTTTTGCGATTTTAGTCAGAGTGAAGCAGCTCCACATGGTCGCCCATGCACACGCAATCACACGCTCTCGGCTCAAGGCCAAGATCATAATGTCACACATGTCTTAGTTCCTTTTTCAATAGATGTTTCTTGACATTTTTAACCACCATCTTCCCACTTTTGTTCCAGCCGCAAACACTAACACAAGCCATCCTCTCTATCCCGTTGCACAAATGCATAGTTGCGCAGACAAAATGTGGAAAAATTGCCATCACAATTCGCTCTGACCATGTTTGATGCCATGTATGACAAGGTTTGTCATAAACCATATTACACAACAGTGGGAAGATGCCTATGTTTCCTATTTTTATTCTTTTTTTTTTTTTTTGTAACTTATTGTAAATAATGTGTTTTTATGTCATCACCTCCCGTTCACATGATGTCTTGCTGGTGCTGTGTGGACTCACTGACAACCTGTGAAAGACAGCAGAGATATAAAAAAAAAATATTTGGACTGCCGGTTAAGAATCTATTTATTGTCCAACATTACGTTAAGCGTTTTACGTCATCATGAGTGAAGTGAGAGGGAACGTGGGTGACAAGGGTCTGTCAATTATGCAGGTTTATTTTCATTTTATTTTTCCACAAGCAACTTTTTCTCGTGAATTTGGTAGAAAATGGTAACCAGGCGCTCCTACATTTCATCATAGCACCCCCAGTGCATGAAGGATAGTATTAACTATAATGTTGCTTATTTTATCCCCAAACATCGGCGTACACTTTGGGAAAAGAACGGGTAATCGTCTTCAAGTTTCATCAACAGGTCCAGACATGTGATTCGTTTTTTCTTTTAGGGACTCCATTCGACACTCGGATTTCATGAAGTTGATTTTTCAAGTCTGAAATCACGTGGAATGACTTTGTGCTTTCAAATGATTTTTTTGTTTTCCAGCTAAGGATTTTCAGAAAGGCATATGGTTTGTAGAGCGTACACTTTGGGAAAAGAACGGGTAATCGTCTTCAGGTTTCATCAACAGGTCCAGACATGTGATTTGTTTTTTCTTTTAGGAACTCCACTAGACACTCTGATTTCATGAAGTTGATTTTTCAAGTCTGAAATCACATGTAATGACTTTGCGCTTTCAAATGATTTTTTTGTTTTCCAGTTAAGGATTTTCAGTAAGGCATTTGGTTTGTACAATTTACATCATGTTACGGTTATTAGTAAATACTCATGAGGGCAGCCTTTATAAGTTCTCGTGAAAGTCAAACTACGAGACTTCAAGTCAGTCGTATATCAACATCGGGTTTCGTTTTGAACCGGCCGTTTCAAGATTAAACTGGAGGAAACCTGAACTATTTTATCTATCTATCTAGTGATCTCATGATCTTATGAATCGAGTAGTTTGCCTCCAATATGCTGAAATATGTTGGAAACCTGAACTATTTTATCTATCTATCTAGTGATCTTATGAATCTAGTAGTTTGCCTCCAATATGCTGAAAAAAAAGAAGTGCAATTCTTGAACCCAATTTACACATTAGGCACTAGCACCCTCGCTCACAGAATATGTCATTTGGATAAGGGAAAAGATGACACCGGTTCATTTATAAATGAACTAATGGTAGCGCGTGTCCATGTGTATTTGTTCCAACCTCGCCATCGCGGGTCTCGATGGTCTTGATAAGAACCGTCTTCTTTGAGTGCATCTCAGAGGAACGCTGGGGCTGAGACTCAGGACTGGTCTCTAGGGTGAGACATACACAGGCATAGTATCATTTTAATTATTGTGATTGATGACACTAATGCCTCTCGGCCCAGTTCTATGAACCAGTGAGCCCATAGTGTTCGGTTACATGTCATACATCCCCACACAGCGGGGAGTATGGGTCACTGGAGTTATGTAATGTCCTCAAAATAGCAAGCCCCATGTTCGGTCATGGTTTATAATTACTCTTTTATGCCTTCCTCTACAATCTTTAATGGTTTTCCTATGGGTATGTTTGTGGAAAGGCTGAACAGCTTCCCTTACCTCGAAATCCAATAGAGGAAAAGGCAGTTTGGACAGGCATAGTGGTGGTGATCCTGGAAAATAAAGTAACACAAAGAAATACAATATATCAGAAAAAATAGGAAGATGAATTATGTTTCAGACATACAGCGTTCCCCCAATAGGCATAGGGCTAAGGGAACAAGCCTGTGTGAATAGCAAAAAAAAAAAATCCCAAAGCAATTGTTTCCAAAAATGGTTCAGAATTGCCTACTTATGCAACAAGATGGTGGAAAAGCAGCACTTTTGTCAAATTGACTTATTTCAACATACAAAGTAGTTTCTTCGGACTAAGTTATTTAATTTTTTTCAGCGACTAATGGTGGATGGATTCAAAAAAATCACAAACAGGTGAATTTGCGAATGCTGAACCATGTATATGTGGGCGGAGGCAAAAGGCTATTAGCATTTTAGAGGTGATCACCAACGATCGTTCAGTGAGTGAAAAACGATGACAGATCACCAATCCGATCAGAATCTGGACCAATTTATTAAACCACTTGTTTATTTACTGTACAGTCAAACTCCGCTCTTCATGGAAGATTGGGACCAGCCCAGCCCACGAATCGCCAAAATATGCGGATAATTGACATCCACATTGGGAAAAAAAAAAACAATTAAACCCTAAAAATTCTCTACAAATCGCTGGTGAATATTAAATACAAGAAAATGGATGGGTGGAACCCAACAGTCTCAAAAAGCAACATTATTTTAGAATATTGGGGGGGGGGGGGTGACTAAATATGAAACCTTGGATTATTAATGTGGTAACACAGAATGTCCCTGGAGTGAACGAGATTGTTTTTGCCGTAATGTCTCATTTTGCGGATGACGTCATTGATCAATCTGCTTATTATGACATGACAACTGAGCACCGATTTTGCATGAAATACAAAATACCTGTCGATACGTTCCGGCCGAACAGATCTGTGTAAAGTCTAGACAGGGTTGTCGTCCAGTTTCCATGAGAGTAACTCACCTGCTCTCCTCTCCCTCTAGCAGCTTGCGGTAGGTGGCGATCTCAATATCGAGAGCCATTTTAACATTCAGCAGGTCCTGGTACTCCCTCAGGTGACGGGCCATGTCGTCCTGGGAAACCAATGGTGTTGTCAAATAAACGCCTTGCCCAAACATTCAAGCACTGTGACGATTGCAAATAAACGCATCTGTGACAAGCAGTGCGCTCAGTATCACTTGGCAGGGCATCATATTCTATTTGAACTGCATTACTGATTTATGCATCCGTTGGATTCAGTTTTATTTAGTTTGCCGATGGAATATAAAATACAGTGCTGACCTTCATCTTGGCAATGTCTTCCTCCAGACGTGCGATAGTGTCTTGGTAGCCAGAAGCCTCGCGACTCATGCGGTCCTCAATGTCTCTCATCTGACGCAGCAGAGACTCGTTCTGCGGCGCGAAGTTAGCAGTTGACGAATTGGAAGTGAAAGATACGGATAACATTATCATGTGAAACTGAAGCAACGAAATGCAGCAACATTTGAAGGAGCAGCTTCCAAATCATGAGAACAGATTATATTGTAAAAAGAAGAACGGGTGAAGAAATTGAGCAGAAAAAAAATGCTTCATATGGTCAGCAAAAAATCTGTTTGATACTCACGGTGCCCTTGAGTGAGTCAATCTCACAGGTGTAGGACTGGATCTGGTGTCTGTACTCCATGGTCTCTTGTTTGGCAGAGCGCAGGGCGTCATTGTTCTTACTCACAGCCTGGTTCAGATCTGAGACCTGAGGAAAGAGGTTTGAGTTCCGAGCTATAGAATGGCACACGAAAAGTTTGTCCACACAAACAAGTAGAGCTTTAAAAAAATGTTTCCAAGGGTGACAATGCTTGCTTCGTGTATGTGGTGCCCTACCTTAGACTTGTACCAGTCCTCGGCCTCTGAGATATTCTTGGCAGCGATCGCCTCGTACTGCATGCGGATGTCCCTCAGAGCTGCGGTCAGGTCGGGTTTCGACATGTCCATCTGGATCTGCACCTGAGTGTCCTGCATCTGGCTCTGCAGCTCACGGATCTCCTGCAGAGAATTTCATTTTCAACAAGAGTCATTCACGTTGCGATAAAGACAATGCAATATCAACTTTTTATGGCAACCTTAACAGTCAAGGGTAAGCTATCCTTGCAAGTGCATTGTTTCGGTTATGACATATACAGGATTGTCCACTATTAGCCTTCACAACTATTTGAGGATAACTTCTTGAGGGCGCAACTGTTACATTCAAACTGTTAAGTCTCGGTTGCCTTCAGCTGCCCTGTGGACCAACCAAATGGTATAAATAGCTTTGCATCTGTTCACACAACTTCCATACACTCCTTTTTTTTTCTCTCCTGCATAGATAGAGACAACAGCTGACCTGCTCTCTTCCAGCAGTTGGCAGTTGAGAATTTCTCAAAGGTCAAAGTTGATGTGTAAAAGAACAGCACCTCTTCATTTGCGTTTTCAAACTGACCATAATGACATGAGTTCACTGAACGTGAGCTACTGTGAAATGTGTCATAAATAGCCTGTGTGTTTATGTGAGACATTTTTCCGGGACCCTGAACTTCACAATGAGCCAGCATCTGATTTGGTCTATTTACAGTATCTTGGACATTGGTCAACAGCTACAAAAGATGTATTTAACTGACTGCTTAACAAACCTCTTCATGGATCTTCTTGAGGAAGGCAATCTCCTCTTGCAGACTCTCGATGCGCCTCTCCAGGTCCAACCTGGCCAGAGTGGCATTGTCCACATCCTAAATATGAAATAGGAAGAGCAGAAAATTATTGCGTCCGTGCAAGGATAACTATTGGAAGATTCAATAGGCCTCAGATTAGCGTAGGATATTGCAGTAGCATCAATGAACAAAAAAACTAAGATAGTGTATAGAAAAAAAAAAAATAGACCTACCGCTCTAAAAGCAGATAGATTGTTCTCGGCTTCTTCCTTCTGGTGAACCTCTTCCTGTAGTCTGCAGTGACAAAAGAAAGGAAACAATGAGACTTGTGGAATAAAGAAGAGCCGACTGACTCCTAGGTTATCACATAACTATCAAAGTGGACACTGGAGGGTGGGGGTTTTGCTCTTAGTTGGTGACATATGTAAAGACGTTTAAAAAAAAAAACAGAATATAAATTGAAACATTGTTTCATGCTGATGTTAATTCAAGCCAATTGTGGCCGACATGTTGTAACGACTCAAAACCCTTGCCCTTGATTTGAAATGCTACAGTGACGACCATCTTGGTTGTGTTCAGCCTTTAACCCGCCCTCTCGCCTACCTGAGCTTCAATTTCTGAAGGTCGTCAGCCAGGTTATCTCTTTCCACCTCCACACGAGCACGCTGGTTTGACAGAGCTTCAATCTGCCTCCTCAGCTCCCTCATTTCATCTTCATACATCTCAGCCACACGCCCGGGTCCCTCGCGGCCCTTGAGCGTTTCGATCTCTACCGTCAGGGCAGCGTTCTGCTGCTCGAGAAAACGAACTTTCTCAATGTAGCTGGCGAAGCGGTCGTTGAGATGCTGAAGCTCGGCCTTCTCGTTGGTCCTTGTGTTGAGGAAGTCCTGGTTCATGGCATCGGCCAGGTTGAAGTCAAGTTTCTCGCCGTAGGTGCGCATGGCTGTGGAGGAGCCGATCCCAGCACCGCCGGAGGACAACCTGAAGCTGGAATACAAAGGAGCGCCACTCTTCACCTCATACACTCGAGTAGTATGGGTTGAGGAGCTGCGACCTCCTCCTCCTCCGTGAGTGGAGAACAGGGAAGACATCGGGGATGAACTGACACCAGAACCAAAGGTGCGACGGTATGAAGAGGCCGTCTGGGCCGAGGAAGAGTAGGACTTGCTCATGGCTGCCGGTTATTTGCTGTGGTGGAGCTGCTGGAGAAGCCAAGACCCAACTGAGCCGCTGGGTGAATGGGAGAGGAACCAAGTGAAGGGTCCCCCAGCAGCAAGCATGGCTATTTGTAGCTTTACCACACCCACTGTCACCCCAACACCTCCTCTAGGTCCACCCATGACCTCTTTTGTCTTGCGACCACCTGACTCCACCTTGTCTACATTTTGTTATTTTTAATCGCTTTTGCAGGCTCTTCAAACTTTACTAATGTGAAGATCAAACATATTTTACAGTACTGACAATCACCGGTCACGACATGAGGCTCATCTGCGCTGCATCACGGCATTTCTAGTTATACACCCATATCATGGAGCTAAATACATTTTGGTAGATTTTTAGAAACTTCCGACTTCTTACAGACATACTCCAAAAGCCGATATGCTCGACATTTCCTCCCTCCTGTGTAGCCACTCAGCTGTTCTGTAGTAGCTTCCTCTCCTCCTTATCCCCAACAGCCTCCTGTTGCCAGACGCCTATTCAGCTGTCTAATGGGTCTGGTTTCAAGTGTGTGTGTGTGTGTGTGTGTGTGTGTGTGTGTGTGTGTGTGTGTGTGTGTGTGTGTGAGAGAGATACACTGTATATAATTGAACGATACATTAGCGGGCGGTCATTCCAAGAGCCCAGAATGTCATGGTGAGTTATGTTTTCCTTAGACACAGTATACACAGTAAGTATGGATGTCAAAAAGGCAAAAATATGTAACTTCCTCCATTTTTTGGGGACATAAACTCTAAATGGAGTTGTGACAAGTAATATAAAACCCAGATCCTAAAGATTACATGAAATATTTTTTCATACCACATCAGTACTATATACACAGTGTGATTTACCTTGCAGTCAGTAGCTACAGTTATAGCAGGGCCACGCAGTGCCCTCGGTTATGTAAGGAGCAGTTCCAGCTACTGCTAAGGTCATATAATTTTGCCATTGGGGGGTCTCGGGATTGACATAACAGAAGATGCTATTTGTGTGTTGTTTTATCCTCAAAGATATGTTTTAATTAAATTCAAGTGTGAAATAGAAAAGCACACAATTAAGCATAGACCTCAGTCCAGGTTGATTTGGTAAAAGTGCAATACACCGTTTTTTAAAATAAAACATGCTTTTGTTACTTAACTTGCCTGCAATTATATGAAGGGCTGACCCTTGCACTTTTAAGCAGTGGAGCCAGAAGGATAATAGGGCGACTGTAGGTGAAAGAAACAGAATGAGTCACAATATAGAATAGTGTCATCGACCTCAAGGGTCAACTGGAGGGTTTGGGGAAAAAGTTTGCAGTGCCTTGGGAAAACAGAAGTACTGTGATAATGCACAGTCGGTCGAAAGACATTTCTGGAGAGAGTGAAAGTGATCAATAACAATCACAATAGGAAGCCTCTCCATTGTTCCGCCAAGATTGTTTTCTGCACAGCTCAGTCAATACCTGAGACACAAAGAAAAAAGGATCTGTCATTAGCCACACAGGCACCGATTATACGCTATACAATACACTATACACGACAGCATATTTAAAATGAACATAATGGGAAATATTTTAGAAGAGTCCATGCAAGCATCCAAGTACTATGACATGTGCATGTAGGAGTGGTGGGCTACGGCGGTTCAAAGGGTCCTTGTGTGTGTGGCCGTGCCTGTAGTCGCGTTTCATGAGGCACATGTGTCAGCTGCCGGTGGTGTCACACTATTTTTAGCATTCCTCTTTGAACACTACACTCTTGTCCAGCCCACATGCCCAAAGGATCATGGGACATGACAGTAACCAACACGCGGGACATAAATGAAGAAGATGATGTTGCACTTTATGTAATACTGGATGTAGCCGATGTCAAAAGCTGATGACAATTGAACAGCAATAAAAATGACTGACCACTATCATTTGATATCTACTACAGCAAATGTATTCATACGCACCATTAAAGAGAAGACTTCGTTTTTGTTATTTCTTTACAACAACAAATGCCAGTGTTGTCATAATCAACACCAGCCACGAACAACAGAAAAGGTCAAATATTTTGGAGCTGAGTGACTGCCAACACTAGTCCACCTGTCACGAGCCACATATTCTGTTCTTCAAATGGGTTTCGTGACAGAGCTATTACAAAAAAGGTTAAATCGGGATTGCTCCATCATTGCGTTCATTTTCCAGAAGTGACGGATGGTCTCCTTATTACATCGCTAAAGAAGGGAAATGATCCAATAGGAAATAAAGGGAATTGACCGCATTATCTGATGATATGACGGCGGGAAGCATCTCGCATCAATTTCCTCAGAGAGACTTACAGTTCAATCACCAGCGCGCAACATAAAAAATGAGAAGCCTCTGAGTTGACTAATGAGCTCAGATACACAGATGAACCATCGGGACTGTCAGCCAGAAAACAAACTTAAATTAGCTCTCAGATCTCATCACGGCGATGGAGGGACACGTGTTCCAAACAAGTCAGAGAATAATAACGGCACACGGCAGCCAACCCGTCCTTGTCAGGCCTCCAACTTCAGCATGATGTCAGTTACTGTACAAAATGAACATATCTGCTCTTGTTACTTTAAATGGACATTAGAAAAGGAGAAGAAAGCCCGTCGTGTGATACAGACTCATCCTATGTGCATGTCAGTGTACATCCGAATTTCAACATAAACTACAGAATAATAAGCCACAAATTGTATATTAGTATAGGCCAATGGGGAATATGGGTCGTGAAAGAAAGGAATAGGCAGAGGAAATTGGGACTTTTATTACAAACCTTTTAGAAAAAAACATAAGAGTCTCTGTGACTAAGAACAGAAGTGAGATACACTGTAGTAAAGGGACCAAGAAACTAATTGGCAAACCACATGAAAAGTTACTGGACATTTTAGAAAATTGTTTTGTTTGAACTACGGCGTCTTTGAACAGTTGCTTTGAATTCCACTTTTTTTGTAGCAGTAGTATTTTATTCGGAACTCTCCTGTAAAAGCATTTATGTAATGTGCGATTTACTTTCACAAATTCATGACGAAACCAAACACATCATCACAACCATGAGTCAAATTGCAAATGCGACATCCTAATTCTTGGTAATCGTAGTAACGATGTAGATGAAAACAAACTTTATCTTTCAGTGATTAAATGCTGTGTCATGTCTAGACATACTGCTACTGAGTTGGACAGCCTGACGGGAAAAATCATGTGTTTAGAAGTACCCCCGATAATGTGCATGCGGACGATAGCGTTCAGCTGGTCTGATCCATTATAAATGTGGGTTGCATGTTACCTAGCAACCAAACAAACACACAAACACACATGCCAATATGGTGAGCTGCCAAACAAGGATGATAAAATGAGGGCAAAGGCATGACTGTGTGTGTGTGTGTGTGTGTGTGTGTGTGTGTGTGTGTGTGTGTGTGTGTGTGTGTGTGTGTGCGTGCGTGTGTGTGTGTGTGTGTGTGCGTGTGTGTGTCGACGATTGCATACAAACGTGTAATGTGCAAAGCAGTTCCATTTCTATTTCAGTCTATCTCGGGGCCGTCGGCTACTCAGTGTGACAAGAAAAGCAAGCGGTGGACTTTAAAACAAACCCTGTGATTCATGAGTCACACCAGCTCGGACCACATCCTGCGTTATTTCAGTGTAATTGCAACATCTCAATGCACATAGTCTAATAAAACAATCTGTATCATGGGCAACAGTCCTAGTTTTACTGGTATACAAAAAAAGCTATTGTATTAATCAGTTAAAACTATGCTTAAAATACATGTGCTCACCTTGGATTAACACGCCCACTTTCACATATAGCACATATGCATTTGGAAACTAAATTCCTCTCGCATGCATGCAATTCCTTTAAGCCACATGATATAATGGGACATTCATCATATTGTGCCTCTGGCAACCCTAGAATAGGACGAATGTGTGAATAGCAGGCTCAAGGCCAAGAATCTGGTGTTTGAAATGGCAGGCTTTTGTTGGTTTTACACTGTTCTAAAATTAAAATGCAGTGACGGGTTTTTAGTTTACAAACTCTCTCATACAAGAAGCAAGCTGCGTGTATGAATGTGTTCCCTGAAAATATAGTCAATCCTTGCCAATCCAAGAAATGTGCTGTCTCCCTAACAGGTATGTTTTATGTGTTTTAGGAATAATCAACATTATGCCATGTTTGAAAGTGCATGATGACATTTTGGGCAGGGATAGTCAAAACATACTGTACCGTGTCCCATTTCCTTTTACCACTAGAGGGTGTGAGGACAAGAGAAGCACTGAACTGCAAAAATAGCCTCAAACGCCACATACATACTTGTGATGGAGACATACAGTTACTATTTGGTTGGTATGCTGTAAGAAAAATCAATAAATACAAATAAAAATGAAAAATCATAATACTGGTAATAATACTCTTGATAGTCACTGATATTATCATTATTGCCAAACAAATCATGCGAGTGACTTCTTGTTGCAACATGTAATTTTATTGACCAAACCAAAACAATTTCAATACACATGCCAACGTCCATGAAATTCTACAAGGCTCTTTTTTTACGAGCATTTTCATTTGCAGTAATATAATTTGGCCATTGCTTTAAATTTCAATCTACCGGTATGTGAGCTGTTCCATGTTCAAGATGAGTTGTCAAATTATTGCCCATATGTGCAGCTTTCACACTTTAAAAAGATTCATTCAGAACAGAATCTTTATCTGGATTTTATTTAATGATAAAGTAATGTCTCTTTTTAGTTTAACATTCAGTACTTCGGTAGTTCATCAAGCTTCATTCCTTACATTAGTCACTGGACATGAGGTACATTAAGTGCATTTCAGTTAGATTTCGGACTTTGACAAAAAATATACAAAATTATCAAGAGAAAATTCTGTTGTGAGTAGTGGCAGAAATTTATTATTTAAATTTCTAAAACAGCCTTAGATTTACTCACGTTTCACTTTACCCCACAACAAAGGAGTCTGTTCATGCT